CCCTCGCCCCGCCCCGCCCGCTGCTCCAGCTCCTGACACGTATGTAGAGACGCAGAGCTCAAGTAACTATTATTAGAACTTGGACCCATCCCTGCCAGAACAGAGGACTCAAACAGAGGAGCTGGCTAAAAGCACAATTTGTCCTCAGTACAAATACAAATGCTCTCCCCGCCATCTCTATTTCATTAAAACTCTCTTGATCAACAATTGAGCAGATCCTACGTGATATCTGCAGGTCGCTTTAGGCAGAGAAAAATAAGCCCTTGTTTAAACAACCCGATTAATGAAACCTGTACAGTGACCTAGATCACCGGGCTCCTGGCAGACATTTGCAAAAACCTTCTGTGGTCTTGCTTCCTACTATGTTGCTTAGAGCATATGGGGAAATTTGACCTCTGTACCTTGGCTGTTTGTCAAAAAGTTCTAATGCGGTACAAGAGGGCCTCTGTTCTTTAGGCTTTGCACACAAATAGACACTCCATGCTTGGTTTTCAAGACGAGATGAGTGATAAGCACAGCCCCATTGATACATAGCAGAAAAATATGTCTGCATGTATATAATCGTGTGGGTCTGCGGGTGCTTGATAAAATCCTGGTGGCGGCATCTTTATGGCTGATAAAGATGTTAGAGCTATGGATAGGTCTTTGAAGAACAGTTACCTAATCACTACTGTTTATGGGGTGCTAGGCTAGAACACTAGCTCCAGAAGGCTGACATCTATTGTGAAGTTTACGGTCTCTGTGACTTTTACTACTGTAAACGCCTGGGATGGCTATAAATTGATGTCAACATTAAAGGTCAGATCCTTTAGAGCAAAATATTAATCCACTAATCTATTATGGGTGGCTAGCTTTCAAATACAAACTTTGCAGCTCCCTACCATTAGGTGTTTTCGCCCCCTTGTGGAATTTATTCAGAAGGTTAAAAGAAAGCTTTAAAGAGGTTGTTTTTTGTTTTTTTTTTTCCCGTTGCTGAAGACTCGGCTTTTTTTCCCTCCTTGAGGGAATACCCTATGTTTGTGCAACTATTTTATTTTCAGTCACCAAAGACTGGAGATTAAGCACTCTTTCTAAAAATAAGAGTATCTTACCTGCCAAAGACTTTAACCTATGATTAAAGGTGCATAATTTGAGATTGGCTTCCTATTTGGAAATATACACTGGCCAGGGGACTTTCCTTTTGGAAGAATGAGGGAATGGAGGTTCAGATGGGGGGAAACAACCTAACCCCCCCCTCCCCCGAAACAGGACTACTGGTTTGCAAATGAGCAAATAAGTGTGGAGAAGACTGAATTTGATGGGGTGAGGTTAGAGAAGTGGTGGGAAATACTCAGGAATGCAGACGGCAGTTATCCATGTTGGAATGTGACCTAGCCGCTGGCTCTAATCTAGTGAAAAGGGCCACAGGATCTCTAATGAGAATAAATGCTCCTTGTCTAATTGAGTCAGGAAAAATTTACTAACATAAACCTGGCAGATAACGTTGTCTCCAAAAAAATAAATTTTGAACTTGAAGAATGTAGGCTCTAAGCCACTGGCAGTTTTCTTTTTTTTTTTCTGTTTTGTTTAGTTTTCTTGCACCAAGGGACTATTTCCTATAGCTTCAGAGATGCTATTTGCCAGCTCAGTATTGTACCAGTATCATCAAAATCTAAGCTTCCAGACAGGCTAGGTGAACCTCAGCAAGCGAACACTAAACAGCACACATCAAAGGCCTTAGCCAGTGAAGCCCTATTAGCATTCATTCTGTTTTTCTTCCCCCTAAAAGAGGGGGAACAATGGCAGCAGCTGAACTTTAATTCCGATGGACTGGCTTAAAGTACTTGACCTATTTTTATGTATCAACGACAGAAATGGTCTTCCCCCCTCTTTTAACCTGATGACCACATTTAGTGGAAAAGGAAATATAGGGACATTTTCTATCAAGCAGTGAGCTGCTGATCAATAATTCAGTTTGCGTTATAGTGAGTGAGACCCACCTATATTTTTCAGAAGTATTAGATACCTGAAATAAAACAAAAATTCCCTCTACAGGATGGAATTAAATGTATAATTAATGCTAAATAATGAAGAACTTCAGATAGTTTAAGTGCCATAGGTTTGAATTTCTATTTAGCTATTTGTAGGCATGATAAGAGCTAAGAAAATGAGGGCTGCTGTATCCAGGGATTGCTCAGACGTTGGGAAGGAGATAGTCCCAGGCCACCTTCCTCCCATACTTTCTATAAATAAACAACGCCTTTTTGGTGCAAGGGTCCTTATCAGTTACTTTTACCCCCAAGATAAGCAACATGGCAGAAGTAGCCCAGGTGACATGGTTGGTACTTCCTGAGAATTCTGCTTGACTAACCCAGGGCCTGTGAGTGCTCTCAGGCAAATCAAAGATGGGTGAGGAGTTCTACTACTTCTTCATGTACTGTTGGTTTGACAGTTAGTGAGGCTGCTGCCCAACATGGGGTGAGGGTTGAGCACACTGGTTCACAGGCTGCTTGGAATTTTCCCCAGGGCACCCCCATCATGCCAATCCCTAAAATTCTTTCCTTTCTTTCCTTTATTATACAGTACTTTCATGATCAACTGGGGGTTGCAGAGTCTGTATCCTAGGGAGCCTGCAGCCAGGGACTGGCAGACATAAGAGGGTGGCTAACAGGGCTGAAGAACCCACCCAGCACATTCCTAAAAGCAGGAGAGAAAACAAAATTTAGGTTGAGAGGAAACTCAAAGTAGCATAAAATAATAATAGTAATAACAATAAAGACAATAAAGCTGTAGATAAAGACATGAGGGAGAATGACGGTAGTGTTGTTCATGGCTACCTAAGTCTCCTCTCTTTGTGTCTCCCTGTGGACTGACATAAAATTTGACCTTGTGATTTCCTTAAGTTAGTTGGCCACAAACATCATCATCACAATGTTGTTATTTCTTGCAACTCACTGTTTGGGATTTAGCACGCCCTCCCGCCCTCCCATAACAATGCGTGTCCTATACTGGCAAACACCAAGTTTTCAGTTGTGAAAGCCACGTCCTCAGACGACTTGGAACAGACTGCCCTGCTGAATTTTTTTACAAAGCTCTTTGAAAAAGATGTCCCTTCCATGCCTCTCTCTCCATGTGGTGTGGGGAACTGATCTATGGCTACATGACTATACCTCCTCTCAAGTTCCTAAATAAACATCCCCAAGGGACTCAGACCCCTGTCCATCAGTTCTTGGAACATCGATTCCCACCTGAGTGGAGCCACCCCTCTAAGAGGCAAGTCATGAAAGGGAAAAAAGCAGTAGCTTGAGAAAGAATTCCATATGCCACATGAAAAATATTTAAATAAATACTACTTTAGCAAAACAAAATATGTGGAGACTTTTCTCGAGTGGTGGGATATGGATTTTTAAGATGGTGAGAAACACACTGTTTAGGCTGCATGGGACCAAATCCCAGA